ATCTTTTCTGAAGTTTTTTAATATCACTAGCATCGTTTATTTCGTATGTATATCTTATTGTTTCACATGTTAGACATATATTGTCAGGTACTTCTTTTTACTAATAATGGTATTTCAGATAATTTATTTTTTGGCATGTTGCACGATCAAATAGCAAATGTACATTTCTAGGACAACATTTTATATGATTTCATTGAAGACAAACTGATGATTGATAGCTAAAACATTTCATAAAAGATTTTGATATAAGAGAGATCCTGTCATTGGATGAATAAATATTTATTTCAAATCAAATATATACAATGGTACAATTTTCTTTATTCTTAGCTCCGTTAGTGCTTTAAATAAATATATTCATATTTAGACATCGTTCTCTTCATACTAATCGATGCTCTATATGTTTATTTTCTGAATTATTATTATTCTATTTTTATCATTTAGTCCAAATTCTTTTCACTCGCATTCTCTTTGTCTTTTCATCGAAACATGTGCAAGTATTTTTTGACGTATTACTTTTTTCATTGCAGAACAAGTTTCAATTAATGCGACTACATAGTAGTCTTTGTTTGGCAGCTTTTTCTTTATGTATATATATGTACGTCAAGAAGAGAAGGTTAATTTTTTTTTTGTTTGTTGAATTTTTTTTTATGACATGTAATAGACTGCACGCACAGCATAACGCATTCAGTTTTTTATGAATTTATCTCTCAATTAAAATATCTTGACTGAAAAGCTTTTTTCCAAACATAGTTCATTAAATTTTTAATCAAATCTAATGAATAGAGATTTATAAAAAAAAATTATTGGAGAACCATATATAGTTGCAAGTATTATACTCCAAAAAGATACACATTCGAAGACACAGATTTTTTTTTTACTAAACTCATTGTTTTTCTTCTTCTGCCTAAACAGGTTTCAGACCATGCTAAAAGAAGTTTCTTATGTTTCCCTAGTGTACTCTTTCTAACAGAGCTCAAGAAAAATTTTTACACACATTTATAAAATTTAAGTGAGTAATCTTCTTGTAAAACAGATTTAAATTACTGATTATTGTCTTGTAATTTGTTGATATATCTGAATCTGTATTAATTTTATATCTAAATTGAATAAATGAAAACTTCGATAAACTCAAATGGAGAAGGAGGACGAACAAAGTGTACTATTCGGATAGATTTACAATTTGACAAGAAAATGATTCCCTCAAATGATAGAGTTTTTCATGGATCACAAAATGATGTATTCATTTTTTCCGGCATATGCTCAGAGAGCAACACAACATTGTAAAAGCCTTAAATAGAGCCTTGAACGTGGACTTCTTGCGGATATTCTTGTAAAAGATTATTTTTTGTTGAAATTTGCAGTTAATTTCAAGGATTATCTTTTGAAAAAAAAACATTCAACTCGCAACATCTACAATTGAGCAAGAGTCATTCATTTGAGTTCCCTCGTTATGATATGATTAACAGCAAGTGTTTTGCAATTTATACATAAAGATCTTATTAGAAATACATGTACATATTTGAAATTATTCCTCGACTTTGTTTTTTATTTTAATTGCAAGTCGTCTTTGATTAGAACGTCATCTCAATGGAATTTTAACATGAAGAACTATTTAATACTCGTCACATTCATTTGTTTTTGATGATTTGGTACGTCTAGACTACTGCAACATTATTGACAAGACAAGAATGCTCATGATTTAAAAAGTGAATATTTGAATGATACAAGAGTTATTCCATCTGAACTATTGTATATCATCTAAAGTACGTCCTTATAATCAAGCGTCTCTTTAATATTAGATTGTGTTTGACACAATTATTAACAGATAAACATTTGCATTTTTTTTTTCTATCAGAGAAAAAAATTTGTATGAATATATTTGATATAATTATTTCAATCATATGTAGATAAATATTCACTTTATCTAACAAGCCTTCGTTGTAATAAGAACTTTAGATATGATAGATAATTGTAAAGATAAAAAATAGACTAAAAACGAATGGATTGAATCATTTCATTATAAAATAAAATCTAATCAAAATTAATCGACAGATGAATACCAAGGTAATCATCTATATTATTGCAATGAGAACAATTAATAATTGAATTTATGTTTCAATTATATATTCAGTTTTCGAACGATAATAATGAAGAATATTATGTCGTAAGTCAGAGCTAATATGAGTTGTGTTCAACTATGAAAGAAAGAAATTAATTAGCAGTATTGGAAATTAGTTTGATTCAAGAGATATCATCATTCGTATGCACTACCCATGTCGTATACCTGTTCGGACTATTGCGGGTGTACCGCAATGCTCATAAGAACCGACAGTAGTGCTTACAACTTTCTGTTCCAACTATAGACGATTGCACAGAGTGTTTTCTACCTAAATTCGAATTATTTATTAGAAGAAATACTAATAAACCAAGTAGAAAGCTGTTTCAAAATAGATTTACTAATAAAAAGTTTTGCAGCACCATCGATAATACACATTTATATGATAATTGGGATCGATATGGGCTCTATAAGTAGTACAGGTAGCTCAGATACGTCAGCATTACATTTATGCTTCAAGAACGATTCAAGTGTATCAGTTTAAACAAATTTCAAAAATATTCACCTATCTTGATACAATAAACTATAAGACAACTCTTTCAACATAAAACTCCAGCAAAGCAAACATTATACCTACGGTAGTTTCTCGGTAGTTATTACATAAGTGTATATCATCTAGTCTATTCAAGAAAAGGAAAAAAGAATAATTGCTTTAAGAATAGAAAAAACTTTCTTTATATATGTATGTATAAAACAAATGAAATCACTAAGATAAAGTTATTCTCATCTTTTTCGATTGTCCATGTCATTTGATCAGATCTTAGAATTTTCCTGGATCAGATATAGTATAATAAGCAAACTAAATTATAAAGTCAATAGAATGTTTACAGTTATCGATCTTTAAATTTGTGTTAGACATCAGTATATAACCAAGTTATAAATTCATTAAATGTTGTCCATGGCAACAATTGATATACCTAAGGCTGGATTTAAAGTTCAGTAAAACGTTCATAAATCAGTTTCAGAGGTGCATGAGCATGAATCCTTTTAGAATTTTTCTAATCTTATCTAGACGTTCTAGTGAACTCAATATGAACTCAAACGGTAAATATCAGTTTAGGTAGTTTCTTCATTTGTTGGATCGAGCTCATTACAGTAAAAACAATTTTTTGAGCCAAATCTGAACTCAAAAGAATGTGTACGTAATCATAAAATTGATGATCTTCTTATAACGTTATTTATTCTTTAAAAAGTATAAACATTTGATTGATAGGAGTCAAATGATTGTTTAAATAATTATAATAAGGTTTTTTTTGAGTTATTGTACGAAAATAAATATCTTGACTATGATTTATAAGTATCTGTGTACGTATTTATATGAAATACTTTTGCATTTAACGAAAAGATTTCGTATATTTCGCAATGGTGGTATTGTATGACTCAGAAGTTTTTTTTTGTTCTCCTTTATAGTATTTTTTTTCTCTTCTTTTTCCAACTCGTTTTCCGTGCTCAGTTGGTGCAAAGGTTTGCCTGATTTATATTGAATGAAAGGAAAAATCCAACATGTTTATTTTCTTTCGTATTTTTTGTGCGTCATGTATTGGTATTTCAATATAAAACAGAATACTTCTTACTAAAAGATGGCAACAGAAGAATTTTTCGACTTCAATCGACGATTTTCCACAGATCAAATGAATTCAGCAACAGAAGAAGAAAAAAAGCATCGATCCATCCAATATATTGTCGAGTATCTAAAGAATGGTATAGACGAGAAGTCGACAGTTGTATCGATTTATAATTCAAAGTAAATTTTTTTTTGTATAAATTTTTACTCTTATTAATCTTTATTTTTCAAGTCTAACTCGTGATCAATATGCAAACAATGTATTAAATACTTTTACACCCAATACTATTCACAAAAGCCAAGAATATGTAGATTATACAAAGAACTTTATGAATCAACAACAGTTTGACTTAGTAAATAGTGATAGTAGGTCAATGAGTTCAAATTCTATGGATTTGGATCTAGATTATAGCTATAAAGATCCTGAGCAAATATCATCAAATGTTAATGCAATAACAAGCTATGGAAGCATTTTTGCTGGTACGAATAGAAATAATGGTGAGTCATTTGTAAAAAAAAAAAAAAAAGAAGAAAAGTCACATTATCTGATATTGTATATAATAATTTTAGTTGAAACATTTGATACAATTCAACAGTCCTTGACAACAGGCATAAATAATTCATTCGTTTTCTTTTACTTCATTTATTTGCCAACAAAAATAGCCAATAGATGCGAAATTAAGAAAAAACTACTAGATGGCATTGTCATCTCGTTTATATTTTTTATTTTGTTACCTAATATAAAATTTTAATAGTTATTTATATTAATCACTTTTCTTTAAAATATACATCTAGATCAATGATTGTTATTTGCCCACGAAAACAGTCAGTGAATCTTTATGAGATTATTATGTGGAATGCAATAAACATTTTTTTTTTTTTATTATTTAGAAGATTTTGCCAAGATATTTTTCTATGTATGAATTATTTCATACTTTGTTTATACAAAAGAAAATATTAATTGCAATTCATTAACAAACAGAAGTCTCCATCACAAACTTTAGTGAAGAAAGTTTCTACCTTCTTATCATCGAATTCACGGATAATTTTATTTTTAAAAAATGGTAGGAACCAATCATCAATTTTCTGCTTCCAAGTTCCTACCATTGTTTTCGAGTTTTCGTGCCGAAAACATCGTCTTTTCGGTAGGAACAGATCTAGACGCTTAACTCATTGATCTACGAAATTGTATTTCGAATTTTATTGAGCATTTTATTTGTTAAAATGTGTCATTTAGAAAATCTATAGCTTTTTTTTCGACAACAAAAAATAACTTATATATCTTTATATTGATAATATATATATATAGGTGAACAACAAATGACCGCAGTTGATTATTGTTATCGAGTGTTGGAAAAATTGACTTTGACTATTGAAGCACTGCAACCGGTTTTATCAAATTTGACAATTCCTGCTAAAATCGGAGGTTTGTTTTAATATAATTATAAAGAAAATAAAAACCTATTGATAATATCAAATTTACTCTAGATTCTTATTTAAAAACACTTAAAATTCCTTCACTTCACGATGTTAATATAAATGCTCGAGAACCATTGAAAATATTAGCAAATTTTTTTCAAGTAGCAGTCAATATATTGCCATCTTTTCGTCAAATAAACAATACAGATGATTATAATAATGCAATTCCCATGGGACAAGAATTGAATGAAACATCTGAAAAAACAATTGCAGGTATGTCCTTTCTTTGTTTGCTTCTCTAATCATTGAATATATATTGTTAAATAAATAGAACCAAGTGAACAAAATGGATGTCATTTGAATGGAGAAATGCAAGCAATAATACCATCGAATTTACCAGCATTTTCTATTCCGAAAGATATTTGTACAACTATATCTTTATCACAATTATTATTACAAGCTCAAGAATATGTTCAAAAATTAAAATTAACTGACTTAAAAATATATGAACAACCACAAGAATTTTGGAAAAAACGTTCTATTAATTGTTTAAAAAATAAATGGTGTCCAGCTATTCAAGGGCGAAGTGGCAAACAACGACATTATATTGGCATAAAAGTTAAATTAAAAATTTTAATTATTTAATTAATCTATATATATAATTTATTTATTTAATTTCTATCTAGTGGTCAAAATTACATAATAGCAATGCAAATAATTTATTTGTTCTTGTTCAATTACTATCACATGATAATCAATCACATCAATCAAAAGTCTTAGTACCACCGGAAACAATAGTTAAGCAATCAAAATTATCAGGAAGAAGACAAAAAAGAAGTAACAGACGTCAAACACTTAATGATTTGATTATCAAAGATATATATGGATTTAATAAAGCAACTAACACTATTCTTTGTCCTATTACTGAAGATGAATATTGTCAATGTAAAAAAAAGTAAGTTACATTTATCTGAACATATGTCATAATAGGTATATGCTTCTTTTTTTTTTTGCCTTCAGTTTAAAATTAATAATGTTCAGTTTATATAAAACATATGAAGAAATTGAGAACTCAAATTATATACAAGATTCATATGACAATCAAAAAGAATATGAAGATGAAGATGAAGATGCACCTGCAGATGAAGACGAAGATACTTCTATCGAAAATCAATTACTTAAATTATGCAAACTTCGTATTCGTCTTTGTCGACGAACAAGTAAAAATACATTAGAATATATATCCAATTGCATCGATACGGAGTTGATCGAAGAAAGTAAGTCTTTTGTCATATGTACAGAATGGTTTAGAGATAAAACTAGTTACGGTAGGAATTCCAGATAGACCTAACTTTGTTGAAAGTTGACTACATTATATATCACTATCCCACAGACGGAATAGTATCACAACTAGTCAGTTCAGTATCGGTATGGATTTCAGACCGACCAGTTCGATTCGCTCTGACCTACTGACACTGATTCCATCTCTGAGGTGTTCCGAAATTCAACGCTCGTCTCCTCCACCCCAATTATTAGGACGCTCTCTTATAACAGAAGATCCGGATCTTGTGAAAAAACAATTCAGTTAAATTTGTTTAACCACTTTTTTTTCTTGTATTATTACTGAATCGTATTTATTGGAGAATAGCAGTTACGAAAGAGTATAAGAGACATTATAGCTTATGTATGCAAAAGTGGAGATATATTTTCTGCAAAGGAAGAAACAAGCTATTATTAGCTACAGCGAGAAAAAGAGGACTATAAATGGTGCAAGGAGGAGAAAACACACTAATATTGAACTTTATTTGTATCAGTAGTAATATACATTTAGTAACCATACAAAAAAAAATGTTGCTTTTTCTTATTCATGAAGAAAAAAACACTCTCTGTGGAAGATTCCCAAAATGAGTAAAAACCTTTTGAGCATGTATTTTGTTCAATCTTAGAGGAGTATGGAACTTTAACAATATTCGAATAGATTGGTGCACTTTTACAGTTTAAACCGAGAAATTGAATTTTTAGTAAATATGCCCCTTACGAATCCGAATTTTTCCATAAAAGCGTAATTTCGATTTTCTTTTTTGACACGAAACTTTGTTTAGATCAAATAGCTTGAGTGCAAAGTGTTTCAACATAGTATCTCCAAGATATAAAGTTTTCAAAAACTTCACATGTTACACAATATCAGTAAAAAAAAGCCGAGATTTGGAGAAACTACATGTAAAAATTTAATACACAAGTTGATCTACTGGAGATCTTGATTGGGACAAAACTTATCTAGAGAAACAGTATCTCTTAAGATCACACAATGAAGAAAAAAAGAAAATTAGAAATCTTCTTTACCACTGAGGAAAAAGTTAGTTCGATTGATCAAAGTGTTGCGGAGATATTCTGATTGTTTCTTTTTGTGTAAAGTGACTTTTTGTATCATCTATGTTTTATGTATCTGAAGAATACTTTTTTTTGAAAAAGAAATATTCTAAAACTTAGATTTCTTTTATAGGTAAAGGTAACCAAACATTATCTATTGATCAATCTCAAGTAACTCCGCAATATCTTTGCAAATGTGGTAATGAAATAATTGTAGTACCATTGAATACGGATAGTGAAAAAAATGGTAAAATTCTTTAATATTTATTATTATTCATATATAATATTATTTTCTTAAGGTTTTACCGTACGTTTGAATGATACACAATTAAATTCTTCTCAAATTCATGGAGTTAAGGGTAAACATATATTTTTCAAGTCACTTCCAGATGAAATACCTCGACAAAATTTTCTACGTGTAATGGTTTCAAAAAAAAGTGTCGCAAAAACAATTAAACAAAATCATAATCCATATGATGGTATTGATGAAAATACTCTATTAAATTTATGTATTAGATATGTAGAAAATAGTAAGTATAAACGAGTTCTTCTTTTCAAATAAAACACAAACAATATGTTTTTATTATATTTTAGGTGATAATCTACATCATCATAAAAATGATGAATACAAAATTTCCATGCAAACAAATGAAATCAATCGAATAAACAAATAAATTTTTTTGACAAACATATATTTTTTTTCCGGTGTTTTCTCTCTCTGTTGTATATATTGATCTTTCTGTTTCATGTGAAAATAATTTGGTTGTCTTTATTCTTGTAAATGTTGAGTTCGGTGCTTTTATATTAATATTAAATATAAAAAAAAAAGGTCTTTCATAAAACATGATGTATTTTCTAGATTAAAAAGATGAATGAAAATATTCTTAGTAAATATGTTGATCGAGTAAAAAGGTGTAACATGTTAAAAGCACAGTGAAAAAGAACCAACAATTAAGTAAATGAAGATAATTTACATATAAAGTCTGTATACGATATTTTGAATAAATAATAACAAATGTAAGTTGAATATATAGTTCTTTTGTAAGAAGTATTCAATAAGTACGAAGTAATTTTCTTATGAAGTTATAATTATTATAGAGAGTTTTTGGTTTTTAAACAAATCAAATACTTTTATTTAGATTAGATCATATGATACATGAGTCATTTGTAGAAACTTGCCTGTTAGTCAATATTAGAATATATAATGACTAAATTGGAACTATCATTCGTCTGATTAGTTTAACATCATCAGAATTATTTGTTGAATTCAAACATAAATCTAGTGGAAAAATTCTCAAATAATTTAATTCTTGTTCCACATCTGAAGCCGTAAATATTGTATGAAAGTTCGTCCTAAAAACTATTATTTAGCAGTTATATGAGTGGCATCAGCAGATGGAGACTCAGTTGCCGGTCTCACTAATTAGAAGGCTTTGAGTTCCCTATAACTTTTTCTCTTTTTACGTCAATGACGAACAAACATTCTCAATTGTCTCCGTAGGCTATTTTTAAGGAGTTAGATCGATCTGAACATCAGTAGAAAAGACTCTAAGATATTTTCCGGAAATTTTTTACAGTCAATAAAGACGAATCTAATGTTAAAGTTTTCATTACTGACAACTAAACTAACATAAATCCGAAATAACATCTTATACAGTCATTTTTCTGGTGTTGAGATCGTCCTAATTCCACAAAGACAGTCAATGGTAAAGAGAACGCCTTATGTCGTTGTGATCAGCTTTCTGAATTCTACAATCTAATATGAAACGGATTGAAAACGAAAATTTACACTTGTGAACCATTTTTCGTATGTTAGATGCCTATTGTTATCAATTAAATAGACCAAAGAATGGCGACATCTAACGTGAAAATAAAAAAAATAGAGGAAATAACTTACTGAATATGACATTTTCGTTCATAACTCAACTCGTTCTCCATCATCAATTCTTGTCATTAAATTCATTGCTCATTCGCATCTACTAAAACGACTCATCTTCACTTATACTAGTCATCTTCTCGTCTTCATATTCACTTTTTTTCTTTCGTTCTTGTTAACTGAACAAACAAACTAACGTCTACATTTGTGCGTGTATAGTGTATATCTACCTTTTCTTCTCTTCTCTTCTCTCATCGTTTTCATCTTGTTGAATTAGTCGTTAAATTAAATATGAGTACACATATATATCTTCGTTATCGGTTTCTTTTTTAGAACAACAATGTCTTCGACAAATGGTAGTAGTGATTTACGAGTGACAATTGCATTAACTGAACGTGATGCTGTTAAACTTATTCTTGATTTTCTTCAACAACGTGAACTTTATATTAGTATGCTTGATATAGAACGTGAAACAGGTGTATATATATATATATAGTCTATATAAATAAATTTAATTGTTTTTAATATCTATTTATAATTATATTTTAAAACGATATCTGATTTTTGTTTAGGTATTATTAATGGATCTTATTCAGAAGATATACTTTTTTTACGACAACTTATTTTGGATGGACAATGGGATGATGTTATTGATTTTATTCAACCATTAAAAACAATTGATTCATTTGATGCTAAACAATTTATTTATATTGTTTTAAAATATCAATTTTTAGAATTATTATGTTTAAAAACTGAAGCACAAGTTGAAAATGATTCAGCAGTTGAACAAATAGTCAAGTAAATTAAATTAAATGATATGATATTTATATTTAATTAATTAAATATAATACAAAAATAATTCTTTTAGATTTCTTAATGATTTACGACCATTTGCACCAAATGAACAAGAATATAAAAAATTATCTTTTTTACTTACACTTAAACGTTTACAAGATCATACGGATTATAATAATTGGAATCCAAGTGCTGGACGTGTACAATGTTTTCATGAAATTTTTCCACTTGTTCATCGATTTTTACAAGTAATTATTCTCAATGAAATTATAAACAATATAAAAAGTTTTTTTTTAAAGGATTTACATTAACTATTAAAGAGATCAAAAATTTTCAATAGAGATATTGTATCTATTTACTTAAATAATCCAAATGTTATGACATGTAGACAGTCGTTAATCTTTTCTTTCTAGGTAGATAAACAAACAACTCCAATCGCTCAAGGTGATCGTCTAATTCAATTACTTATTAAAGGTCTTCTATATGAATCATGTGTTGAACATTGTCAAGCACGTGCAACAAATACAGATGAAACAATTGATCTTAAAAATCCAAATTGTTTATTATTAAATACACGTTTATCTGATACAGATGTTTCACTACTTTCATGGTTACATGCATTACCAACTGAAACATTTTCATGTCCATTTGAACAAAAATCATTAAAAGTAAATATTGATAAATTACAAAAACCTATACTTGAAGCAACATGGGCTGAACATGTATTAAGTACACCATTTAAACCTCAAACAATGTTTCCATTTAATGCTACACCAACAGGTAAACCACGTTCAACAGAATTAATGTCACGTTCATTAGCACCTCAATATGATGGTTTATCATATGGTCTTATACGTTCACAAATAGTAGGAGATTATAATCGTAATTTTGTTAATGATATGAGTCGTTCATTAGCTATATGTAATTTAAAAGATAATGGAATAAATAATACAATAACATCAACAATTTTACCAACAGTTGAAGAAGTTCTTTATGAAGAAACACCACCACCATTAACACCACCACGTACATTATCACCACCACGTACATTATCTCCACCACGTACATTATCACCCGTAAGAAATAAAATATCTCCACAAAATTCTCAACGTTCACAATCACCATTCAAACGTAATCAAACAATATCAGCATCATCATCATCATCATCGTCATCAAATAAACAAACAAATGGTAAAAACATAAATGAAAATAGTAATCGTTCACCAAATGCTGATTCACCAGCAGACCGTTTACTTAAAGTAAAAGGATAAACTATTATATTTTGTCATTTATTATATTTTGTTTTTGTTCATTTTAAGGAATATCAAAAAGGTCGAGCAGAAATCATAAAACATTTTGATGAACAAGAATTTCAAAAAAATGAATTACAAAAACAAATTAGTAAGAATTTTCCTTCTACAACGAAAAAAAAAAACAAAAATACCTAATATTTATTCTTTAGCAACAAATCCAAAAATACGTGCTATTAATGATGTAACTAAATATGATTCACTTGAAGTATAAAAAAAAAAAATTCTTTTTTCTCAGTTAAATAAAACAAATTTTTTTTATATTTAATTTTAGGATATAACACGTTCACCAGCATTTATACCATTAGCATCTATTGAAGATGTTCAAGCAATTCGTTCTGTTGATATACATCCAACTGGCAAATATTTTGCTGTTGGTTCAAATTCTAAAATGCTTCGTGTTTGTGCATATCCTGATATAAAAAATATTCGTACAGATTCAGTACCTAATCAAGCTAAAGTTTTATTTAAAAAGGGTAAACATCATTTGGGAAGTATTTATTGTATGGGATGGTCACCAAGTGGAAAAATAATTGCAACTGGATCAAATGATAAACTTATTAAAATTCTACGACTTGATATGGATAGACCAGAAGATAATTCAAATAGTATAATAGAAAAGAAAATATATTATATTTAGATTTTATTTTTTTCTTCTTCTTCTTATTATTATAGATACGGAAATTGAATTAACACATCATAATGGAACCGTTCGAGATCTTGTTTTTATGCATGATAATTTAAAAGATGATTCCATTTTATTAAGTGGTGGTGCAGGTGATTGTAAAGTTTATGTTACAGATATAAAAAAACAAACGCCTATTAAGAGTTACATTGGTCATCAAGGTAAGAGATTATAAAATTATTAGAGATTTGACGTAGAATATTTACGTATAGAACAAAACGAATAAGTGATGACAGTATGATTGATGAATCAAGAAAAAAAACATCATCGATTAAGATAAAGTATAAAAGCATAATTTGGTTCTATTTGTTTTGTTAACAAGTACAATCAAAAGTGGAAGCAAAGAGAAAATATGAATCAAGCTTCTTCTTTTTTTTTTTTTTACTAGAGAGCAGATGTATCACGGGCGGCGGAAGTATCAATATCCTGGAAATCGGGGAATACGTCACATGCAAAAGTATCCATTATAAAAGGTACTTTCGCATATTCTGCATTCTCTATTTCTTGGATACGTGACATGACTGTTTTTGTTGCTTACTAATCCCCAAATCCAAGTAACTTTAGCAAAAATCTTTTAATCAGCTACCTCAGTCATTGACTCTCGAGTCAAGTTATTTTTTGCATTATTTCCTTTTGTGTTTATTTTTAAAAACAATGTTAAAGTGTGTTTTTCATGACATGATATCTTATTCCTATTTTTTATGCACAAAATAGTTCCACGAGATAATAAAAATAAAACGTCAATTTAACCTAAACTTATAATTGTTTACACGACAACAAAAAATTCTTTTATGATTCTTTTCATGCAAAAGTTCAACACTGAACGATAAAGATTTACAAACATATCATTGGCAAATCGTTTTTTTTTTTTATTGTTTATATTACTTTGTAGAAAAACTCACAATACATTCTCCCATAAAAAAAAAAGACAAAAACAAATTTTATCACGAATACGTGATAAAGTGACCTACTTATATTTGGAATCACTTGAGACCATTGAATACTATGTAATACTCATGTGTATATAAAACAATCTGAATCAAGTATTTAGCTATTATCTATAATGTCTATTATATATCGAACGATTTACTTTAATATTAAACTATAGGATTTGTAACATATCAAATTTCATATTACATAATGTCATAGAATTTCTAATTCATATCAAACTGGTGGATGAAAGTGTATCAATTCTACAGAGTTATCTTGAACTAAAACTGCAAATCAATGAGTATAATTAGTTTTCCGATCATTTTGTTTATGAAAGTTGGATATTTTTCATGTATACATGAAGACTGGTAATCTATTAAGATTATTAGTTTCACTAAAATATCATTAAAATATAACCTAAAGATCTAGAACAAAAAAAAAGAACATGAATTATCCATAGTATTTAATAAAATATGCATAATTCTTTTAGGTTATATATATTCATTATTCACTTGGGATGCATGTAATTTTGTCTCAGCTAGTCAAGATGGTACATCACGTTTATGGGATATTCGTCAACCTGATTGTATCAATGTAATTGCACCTCGTCCTTCAAGTATAAATAGAAATAAATCTTATTATCATTGTTTTATTTTAAATTTTTATTTAATAGACAGTGCCGTAGCATCTGTTGCTATTGATAGTTCTGGACAATTATTAGCAGCCGGTTATGAAGATTCATCATGTTTACTTTATGATCTTCGTGGAAAACGTACTGTACAAGTTTATCAACCACATTCAAATGAAATTCGTAGTGTTCGATTTTCTATACATTCATATTATTTACTCACAGCTTCATATGATAAAAAAGTTGTCATGACAAGTTTAAATGGTAAGATAATATAAAATATAAATTTGCAAAACATTTATTTTGTATTTTATTAAATTTTAGGTGATCTTACTAAACCACTTGTTTTATCAACTGTTGCTGCACATAATGACAAAATAATTCAAGCACGATGGTAAATATATTTAGTTTAGTTGATTCTCTTTTTTTCTCCTATAGAAATTTGCTTGTATTTTTTTAGGCATCCACATGAAATGTCATTTGCAACGACAAGTGCTGATCGTACATGTATTGTTTGGGCTCCACCTCTTTCAGCTTTATCGACTCTCGCTCAATCGCCATAATCAAATAAAGTTCAGTTTTCTTTCTTCTTCCTTTTTTGATCTCATTTGCTTTTTAGTGTTGTTGTTTTTTTTTCCTTCTTTTCTCTGCTTTTGTAATTTAATTCAAACAAATAATAATCTTCTTTTTTTTTTTTTTTCATAGTATTAGTTTGTGGAGACAAAAGAAAATGTTCGAAAATAATTCGCAAATGTGCTGATATATAAATTTATTTGTTTTTATTCAATTAATGTATATTTTTCTTTTTTGGCTTTCTTTTGTTTTACATAAGATAAATATAACAATAATTATTTGATTGTATTAACTTATTTTATGATAAAAAAAAAATAATAATCGATTAATGAAGATTAAAAATTTAATTTGTAGAAAAAATTTTAATTAAACTTTTTATTTCTTAATTATCTTTTGTATCATTGGAATGCTGCTGCAATTTTGAAATGAGAAAAACTATTTCTTTACACATCTGATTTTCATAAAATAATATTGATCGGACAATTCTTCATTGTATAAGTTTTACAGAACTATTAAGAACAGCGATCCGCGCTCTATTGCACGCTTAAGCACTTCTTACGCTTCAATTCTTTCTTTTTTGTTGCTCCATGAGCACATTTCGAAAGTGTAAAATCGATTCTTTGATGTTTTACTAGTCCACTTCGAACCATGAAATGGCGCCACATGCACTCTTTTAAAGGTTTCCGTAACGCTGCATGGTCGTGTCTTAAAGAACGAAACATTCCCATGGATCTCTGGTTAATGCCTTTATTGTCTGAATTTGTGAATTTTATGATTTGAGTTAATTCAATCTATGAAAGTCTCTGATTTCGTATTTGACAGTGCAACCGATTTTTTTATATCATATACTTCTCGATCACATAAATTCTCTTGAAATAATGAAAGAATAATATTTTAAATTCAATCTTAATTTTTATTAATTTCAGATGCCACTTTTATTTTATCATGATTTCATGTCACAGCCTTGTCGGGCTTTATATATTTTTCTTAAAATGACTGGTATTCCATTTCAAGCAAAAGATATTGCATTAAGAAAACGTCAACATATGAGTGATGAATATATTCAACTAAATCCATTTAAAAAGGTACCAGTGATTAATGATTCGGGTTTTATTCTTACTGAAAGGTAATCTCAACAGAAAAAATGGACAAAAACAATAATAAAAAAATGTTTCAATTTTGTTTTAGTGTAGCAATTTTGTCATATCTTTGTGATAAGCATAAAAAGCATGATTGGTATCCAACAGAATTACATAAACGAGCACGTGTTAATGAATTTAATCATTGGCAACATTCAAACTTACGTTTAAGTGGATCAACTCTTTTTCAAACAAAAGTAAAAATATCAAAACTATTCATTATAAGACAACTCATTACATTCGTTGTTTTTTTTAGGTGATTATACCAGCTCTCAAAAATAAGCCGCCAACGGATCGTGAATTAGAAAAATGGTATAAACGATGGGAAGAATCAACCGATGGTCTTGAAAATGTTTGGCTTAATCGATCATCTTATTTAGCTGGTAGTCATATAACTATTGCTGATTTACTTGGTAAATTCACATTTATTATCATGATTAAATAATATAATTAGAAGTTATATTTAATAGGTATTTGTGAAATGATGCAACCTATATCTGCCGGTTATAATTTGGATACAAATAAATTTCCTCGTGTTCAAGATTGGATGGAACGAGTTAAGAAAAAAACTGAGCCATATTTTGATGAAGCACACGTTATTTCAATGCGTTTGAGAGAAAAAATTTTACAAGAAGAAAAACAAAAGGTTTATTGATGATGAATTTGATATCAGTTGACATTCCTTCTTTTTTTTTTTGCTTGATTCTACTACGATAGAGAACTCTTTTTTTTTCTTTTCTTTTTTTTTTGATAAACATTATGATTAATGAACGAGCAATCATTATCAATTTGAAAGAAATTCATTCAAAATAAATTATAATTATGGTTTGAAGAAAATGGTTTAACATAAGTTTATATTGAAGATAATAGCGGCGGAAAATTCGAGGAAAATATCTTTCAATCTAGAAAAATTTTCACTGTTCTCCAACATTTTATTGCTCACTGGTTCTCAAAAACATAAATTATCGAAAAAAGTACATTTTTACACGATTCATGTTTAAACTAAATAATCTTTTTATACGCTATTGTACTATAATGGTCGCCATCTTTTTCAAGTCAAAGTTTGTTGTTCATTTGCTTTTAATTTTTCATGCTTATTTTTGTTTTTTCCACACAAAATAAAACAAATCTACGTATCTATGAATTCGAAGAAAATATTAGGTTATATTTAGTACATTCGTTGACAGAAATTTGTAGAAAAAGACATGTAAAATTTGTTAAGTCTATGGTAATTTTAAGTTTCTTCATCGACATTTATATTATGTAAAAAACTTCATGAATTCATTCTCGATTTGAGAAATTTTGAAAACAAAACAAAAAAAAAAGAATGTCTTCAATTGCTTAGTAATTTATGTTTAAAATACATGTGAAACATACAAAAAATTGATAATATAAACTATCAAATGAATAAAATTGATTACTTTGTACTTTTAAAGATCAATAGTAAATTCTATAATTATACAGACGTTTAACGATATGAATGGCTTTTGTATTCGTTATTTTCAACACTTTCTAGTTGACACATCTTCTCTTGTCTATCACTCGTCTTGTTTATGCGATAGATCGATAGGCGATGGACATAATTGCAATTTGATTCGTTCGATAGTTATATTTGGTAAATGGAAGCATTTATATATATATGCCCAATGTTAGAAAAGAAACATATATAAATATTAATTGTTGGCGAACATATGTCATAATGGAAAAGTTTTGTTTTTTTGAAAAAAAAAAAAGTCTTCAAGGCTTGATTGATGATTATTAACATTAGAAAAGATTTTACATTTGCATAATCCGAAGCCACTAAAAGCTTGTCGTCTTCTTTCTCTTCCCTCTTTTTACGAGAATAGATGTATTTTTTTTTTTCTTTTTGGAACGAATAAGAATTCTCTAACAATCTAACCAATGAAAAAGTGATCCGTTCTGTCGATTTCTATCAAAGAAAAAGAAAAAAAGAACATTCTATACATTAAAGAGAAAAAGAAAAAGAAAAAAAAAAAAAATGGGGGTAGAAGAAAGAAAAAGAACAAATCAAATTATCTATCGAAAAGAACGATTCACACATATATACATGCATATAGTCAAAAGAGCCTAACATCAACAAGAGGAAAAAGAAAAAACTTGATTAATTGTTCGAACGGAAAATATAATCATATATATATTTTTCTTTTTTACTTTCTCATCATACAAATATTAAAAACTAATAACATATTAGTTAAAAGGAAGACGAGACAATAATTTGATTTGTGGTGAGTAGGTTTATCATTATTTTGAGATTATTCAAAATCAATTTTGTTTTCTTTTTCTTTATTTTTTGTTTTTTTCATTCTAAGTATGTTATTACCACCTTGTTGGACATTATCATCAACATCTATTGAAAATTCATCATCATTTAATGATATTATGTTATCAACAGCAACAACATCGAATCAACATCAACCAAATTTTTGGTTTTCTGGTAATCATTTACCATCATTTTTTTCATCAACAACAGGAAATAGTGGTGGCGGAGGAGGAGGAACAGATAAAAATTCTTATATACAACAACCAACAGCAACAAATAAATTTTTTTTTGATACAAATCCATGTAGTTCAAATTCAACAAGTTCACCACCATTATCAAATGATTTTCTTCTAACACGTTCAAATCCAGCAGGAACATTAAATTTAACACAATTTAATTATATACAACAAAATCATCATCATTTATCATCAAATAATTTTCTTCAACGAGATGATTGGTCACAAATACCAATGACACAAACAACTAATTCTCCGACATCTGCTATATGGTCAAAAGGTAAGACAAAAAAAAAAAGAAAAGTTTTTCTTTTTCATTTTTATTGTTTTGTTTCTCTCTTACATCAAATTCATTTATTTATATGCCATCCTATTCTATTATAAAAATATAAGAGAATGAGGTTGCTCAATACCTCATATATATATACATGCATACATTCTCATCCATCTATTCATATTCCATGTCTTAATGGTTATTCGATGATTCGAAGGATGATTTATAATATTTGTCGCCGGCACATTACATCTGCTTGAGCTCGTTTTTTATGCAATACAAAAAAATCATGACAATATATTTCCGTTTTTTTTTTATCAAGTGACACTTTCAGCTTCATCTATCAAGTTACATTTGAATGATTATGGACATCCTATTATTATTTTCTTTGACCATTCAGAAAGACAGAGAACAATTTGTCATTTTATAGGAATAATTTAAAATAGAATACCAGTAGGAATGACCTCTGTTGTTTTCTTTCTTTTGCGTGACGAATATACATACCATTCTTGTTATTCAATTGATTTGTTGACACATTATTATTGGTTAAACCTCGATTTCTTCCCTATTAAACACCTTATATATATATGATACATAATATGTACGAGTGTCTTTTTAATGAGATCAACACATATTTAATGAGCAACAAATGACAAGTTTTTTTTTTTTTGCTTACGAATCAATAACATAATATTCGTGATCGGAAGAAAAAAAAACAAAACAAAAATAAGATAAATTAATTGAAACGAGTTTAGAAGGTGAAAGCAATGAGCCGAAACATCTTGTGAGAGAAAAAAAAAGAAGAACGAATACGAATCATATTGTGTCATATTGAGAGAATATGTCGGCTTTAGTCTTAAAAGAGAATTTATCTTTCAACATATCGTCAATGAACCATCATTGAATACAATAAGAATCGATCTACTTGTTCGTATACATAATTAGATTTATTAAAAAATACGCTTCATTGCATGTCTATATAATATATTCGATACTAAAATAATTTAATATAATCGAAGGTAAATGACTATTACATATTTGCGACATACACACCATTAAAATAAAGGAGAAAAATGCACGACATCATTTTAATTCGTAAGGTATATGTGCACACTAAATCAATAGCAAAACGACACAAAATAACAAGGATAAATATCAATATAATCTATGACAAAAAAAAAAAAAAAAAAGGAAAAAGAAAAACTTTTTCACTACTATAATATCTAATTGATAATCATACATATGATGATCGATTGAAAAATGATTTTGCCGGTATACCATGAAATTGTCATCAAACACATATACTCAAAAGCGCATCCACTCGAAAGTAAGATCGATGTTTATGAATGCGCATATGACAGACAATGGCATCATCAATGTGTGAATATGCACATGTCATTCGTTTGACTTTTTATTTTATTTTTTTGATCCCGCTCTCAAGTATGTTTACAATATACATGTATGTATATATATATATATATGGGTATTAATAAAGCGTAAATTCTGATTGCTTTTTTATAATAAACAAATAAATTCTGATTGATAAATTTAGGTGTTCCGATTGATAATTCTCAAATAACACATTATTCTGATATTGTTAATGGTAATGAATCAATGAAAGATATTAAACGTAAAAGTAGTCGACCAACATTTACTGGTCATCAAATATTTGCATTAGAAAAAATGTTTGAAAATACAAAATATTTAGCTGGAACAGAACGATCAAGACTTGCTTCTCAATTATCTATGAGTGAAGCACAAGTCAAAGTAAAAAAGTTTTCTTGTAGAAGAAATATGAATAAAATATTATATTTTCTTTTTTAGGTTTGGTTTCAAAATAGGTATGATATTTTCAAAATGTCCTTTTTTTTTTTTTTTTTATTGAATATTTTTTAGACGTACAAAATGGCGAAAAAAACATGCTGCTGAAATTCATGGAGGAACTGCTACTAAAAGAACAAAACAACGAAATGATGGATCAATACTTAATGTCGAATCGGATTCAAGTTTAACTTAATTTTTCTCTAAATGTTTTGTTTTGTTTTTTTTTAGTGTTTGAGCTATATGTGAACAAAAAAGAAAAATTTATTCTGTACATTTTCTTTCTCATTCGCAAAATTAAAAATGTTTTTCTTTTTCTTTTGTACGTGCTTGTTTTATATCATGACTTGAATATGCTAGATAACAAAAAAAAAAAAAAAATGATTGTTTCAATTTTGAAATTAAACAAAATATATCAATCGGAAATATTAGATGTTATATCAGAAGATGAATGAATAAATATCTCGTATTCTTTTTTTTTAATTGGATGAAATTAAAAAGAAATTATTTAGTTCAGATAGGACAGTCTGATGATTTCTTAGTATCTTAATAATAATCGTTGATGTGTCCATTTAGTTTAAGCCGAATTATGATATGGTTTCAGACCAGTTAATGACTACGATAAGTGGATGAAAAGTTTTAGTGTGATGAATCATGAACGAACTGAAAAGAGAGACCGAAAAAAGGGGTGGGATCGATTCGGAATAAATCACTGTACATATAAACATCAAAGGCTTTAATCGATTACAACATTTACATGGTGTTATACGCATTGTTTTCATATTGATGTTCAAACTTTTAATTTCGCATCAATATAACAAAAGAAAATGATCCCGATATTACAACATACGTGTTGTAATCGACTAGATGTTTATATGTATGTTACTATACGAATTACAATCGTCTTTGTAACTACAATCTGAAGTGAAGAATATAACGTCAGAATGCTTTTTGTACCCGTGCGAACATCCTATAAATCTAACATCTATTTTCATTTTGTTTATTTATTCGAATATTTATTATATAATTCGTTTGAATTCAATTTACGGCACTTCTAATATTTTTTTTATTAAATAATTATTTTAAAACTTTTATATATGTTGGGAGCAAAATTAAAATTCTTGTTTTGACCAGAAATAAATTTATTTTTATTTAACAATATGTTTTTTATTTTTGGTAAATACTTTACATGTCAAAATACTTTAGTCTATTCATTCCTATGGATAGAATAATCTCGCTTAAAATAACATTCTGTTGAACGAAAAAATTCCTATATTTTTTACATGAACATTGTTTTGTAGCATACTTGCTCTCACAATCGTATGTACGATCGATTGTTGAATCTAATTCAGACATTTTTTTAATTAGATTGTAATCTGTACATCTAATATTTATAGTACTTATTGACAAGATTACTATTGATTAAAATTTTCCGTTTTTTTTTCTCTCAATTTACTCTACTTTTAGTAAAATATATATGACTGTATGAATTTATCTCTAGTCGAATCCTAATTTTATCCAAACGAAATTAGAATTCCAAGTTTGTCTTATCATTCATTACACAAGTAGATTGGTTACTTTTTAGTGAAGAGTATTTTTTTTGTAAATCATTAGTTTTAAAAATAAAGTACTCTGATGAAGTCGAAGTTATCGTGAAGATTTTTTTTTTTTTGGAGTCAATGTCGGAGTTACAGCATTGAAGCAGACAAGTATTTTTACTTCTACATAGCAACAAGTAGTACAAAAAGAAGTATATGTGCTGGTCAAAAGAAACAAATTTTTTTTCAGAGTTTACCATAGTCAATAAGTTTGACTCCGTAGGGTTTTAGCCTTAGTATAATAGCAAACAACACTGCTAAATTGTATTAATAATTTGATACAATTCAAATGTATAATACGTGTTTAAAATCTCAAATATAATGTATTTATCTAGAGCAGAATTTATACTATCAAATGTACTTGTAGAATTAATCCTGTGCTTTTTCTTTTCGAGATTGATTACTACAGAAAATTAAACAATTTCATTTGATAGTATCAATTGTGATTTAGAAAAAAAATATTACATTTTAATTTTTAAACAAATGTTATACATTTAGCATTGTATCAAATTCTTAATAAAGTTTAGTAGACAATCATTATTATATTGAGATTAATTTAATCCAATTATATGTTTGGATAGCAGAGATCGAGTACTATATTTATACACCTGTTTAATTCGAAAATCTCTTGAATATGAAATACAATAGGAAAAACAAACTTCAGTACTAAGAAAAAAATGACATAGAAAACTACAAAATAATAATTAAAATTTTTGAATGGCTTTTCGTTGTGCGATAGAAATTTCTCTCTACGACTCTCGTAGAGTTTTTGATGGCGCATCCTTTGAAAAAAAAAATCAACATGCTATCATTTTTCTAAGCCGAGATACATGCAAAATATAACAGTCTTCCAAACATTTTTATTATGTTAAATACCATGGGAACTGACATTATCATGCATTTACTTTTTATTTTGAGTATAGAATAAACTATCAAAAGAAGTCAATAGGATTTGTTCTTACAATTTCTGTAGAGCTATTCACAGTGTATCTTTTGAAATAAAAATTAAGATTCTATTATTTGTCTGTGCAGAGAATTTTGTAAAACAGATTATGTTGCCAACATTTTTGTAACACTCGGTATTTAACAGTATTGAATATTTTGATTATAATACCGTCATTTCTCAATGAAATTCAAAATTTTTTTTTACCAAAATGACCAGCGAAAAAAGCTCTACAAAATCTGATAAAATGAAAAATTTTCCGCATACTTTGGGTTTTTCGTGGTTGACTGACTGTGGAAGTGTCCTATAACAACAATATCATTTTGTAGTTTTTTATGTAAGTTTTTTCTTAGTACCAAAGTTTATTATTCTTATTATATTTCATATTCAGTAGTTTTTCGAATCAAACAAGTGTATACATATAGTACTGGCTCTCTGCTATCTACATTATATAATTAGATTAAATTAATCTTTTGCAGTTTTAATACACGACTCAAAATAAAAAAGTGAAGCCAGACTTTTGACGCGCACTGTATACTAAAATCAATTATTTGCACGAAAGTTCTATCACATTTTCTTCAATTGTTCAAATTTATTGACATAGTTCATTATCAATGAGATAAGATAAAAATATTCAAATTCTGTTAATGAATTTGATTGCAAGTTTACTTGTTATACTAAATTTAAGAAAAAAGATTTCAAATAGGTACTTTTAGTTGTTTAATCTGTATTAGAAACATTCCTGAAATTCTTCAAACAACAAAAGTATATAATATTTAAAATTCAATTTGAATGATTGTATTATTTTTTTCTTCGTTTATTATTTTTTGGAAAAAAAAAATTTTTTTTTTCTACATGTTTGAAATAATTTCAATAAAATGTTTTCATAAAAAAAAAAAAAACAAACACTGAACAATATTACTATACATTGAGATCTTTATTCATTTTTTATTAATGATTCAAATCGTTGTTGAGCTTCTTTTACTCGTTTGACTTTTTGTTCTTTTGTTAAAACAGGCATTGCTCGACTGTTACGTATAAGTGTTATAATACTGAATAATATTTCAATTGTAATTAATGTTAAACCAATAGCTGAAAGTAAAATTTCTACACGTTGTGTATATGATTGTAAAACAAGAAAAAAGATAAAACCAATTATAGAAAAAAATCCATACAATATAAAAATTATTAAAAGGCTAGTTTTTAACATTAAATTTCCTTTCATACCAAAATAATGACGAATAAATTCATTTAAACATAACATAAATATTAGTGCCATTTCTATACCAAATGCACTTGTTGCATACGGTACATTATAATATTTAAAAATAAAAAGTGGAATTTCAAGTATAAACCAAAAGATTGTGTAATGAATATTTATATATAAAAGAATCTGAAGAATAGTACTCGATTGATCGGAAACAGTGAGAAACATTCGTTTGTTTGTTTTTTCTGAAATAATAATTCAATAAATTCATATCTTAATTTGTATAAAAATGATGCTAAATAAAATTTTCGATTTATAATATTGTGAAAAGCGATATTTCTATTGTCCCTAATCTTATGGAGATTGTTTTATTCTATATATTTTGATACACATTTCTTCATCATTCTTCTCCAGAAAATACAATAAAGAAATAGTTCATATATTATAATGAGATGTTATTGATATGCGGTCTAGGATTGCATATCAACAACGTCCGTCATACCTGTGAGATGAGGTCTATATTTCTATCTCTATATTCCAACAATCCGTTTATATCATGAAACAATCATTGCGCTCTAGTTAAATTTTTCGAGACTGAAAAAGAAATGTAAAATTTCAGTAGATTTTATTTTTTTTGACAAAAGAATAAAAATGACCCTGTATTTACTAGTTTTCGTTCTCATAACTTAATTGAAAAGCAAAATAAATACTAAATTCATAATCAAAAGGAAACATTACATCGAATCGAGTATATCCCAACATGAATTATTTTCAACGCCAAGTTAATCTCAGAGAGACCATACACGATATTTTCGACAAAAGAAAAATGCTGACCGGAAGTATAGGCATATTTTGCCATAGAAAATAAGTTTGATTAAAATATATGTAATCCAATGTCGTGTTTTCATCTTGGTTCCAAATTTACTATTTATTTTGCGTTATAATTGGATTCTGAGAATGAAAACTGGAAAAAAAAACAGGATTATTTTTAATCCTGTTTCGAAAAAATGAAAAAAGTCTTCAATATTCTCAAGAATAAAACAAAAACTAAATAAGTTTGTTTGTAGCTCGAGATTTGATGATTCTAATGAGATTAAGATATATGATAGGTTTGCGAAAGTGCCTATAAACATATATTCTAATGTTATCTATGACGAATAATATTTTTCTACTTAGTTTTTGATACTAAATTAGAATAAAAAGACTTTCCATGTATAAATAAAACTAAAAGTAAGACCTACTCGAAATTTGCATCTTACACAGATTCTTTCTTCATCTTATAGCTTCGTTTCTACTTAAATATAAAACTCCAAATTAGAAAATTTTCTTTCGATACAAACTAAAATCACTGAACAACTAGACATACCATCAGAAGTCTTATTTCCAAGGTAATGCCTCTTTGAAGACAAGCATCTATATAACGCCATCTGTTCTGTTCTACTTATTTTTTGTTTATTTGATTTGTTCATAGCATATCGGATGTAAGAACATGATCACTTATGCTATGCTAATCTTTGACTGTACACACATATATAATATTGATTTTTATTCTTATTCTATATTTCTGTTATCATTGTTTCTCAAAAGACAATCCAATGACTAAATATAAATATAGAATTAGAATTTATGAGCAGATTTAATATAACTTGTTTTCATCATTTTCTTTGAGTTATTATTGTTTATTTTCAGTTTTTTGCTTTTTTTCTTATATAAAATTTTTAATTTGCTGTTTTTCTTTCAAAAAAAACATATATATATACATATATATATTCTACAACTATGATAATAACTCAAGATAATTCTAAACTATTTGTTTTTTTTTCATTATATACTTAACATTCTCATATTTAAACAATAGTGTAGCATAGAGAAAAAACTTTGTTTTTTTTCTATTTCAACGTCAAAAATGATCATTGTAAGTAAACAATATTTGGCAAAATTCTTATCAAATGTTTCTTATCTGCTAATTGACTTCACACATAATTAAAATAAGTAATAAATTCTTCTGCTCTTTCTGATTTTACGCATGAGTAGGTTGGGGCGTAAGATTTCTCCTGCGACATAAGTTAAACAATTTACTAACATACATAGAAGCTTTGCTTTTACGCTTGCATGCTATTAATATTACGTTAATGATTATTAAAAATCTAATTTTGGCTATGTTCACATCACATTCCAGATTCAAGAAAAAAAAAATCGTTCTATCATTTTCAGCGATGAATAAAATTTGTTTGCTTGTATCACGTCGTAATTATGCAACAGCATCAACATTTCGTGCTGCTGATACAATAATAAAAAAAACTGAACGTGGAAATCCTAAACCAGATCCGAATAAACTTGTTTTTGGTGCCAGTTTTTCGGATCATATGTTAACAATAAAACATACAAATACATCCGGTTGGGAAAAACCAATAATTGAACCATTGAAGGATCTTTCCATTCATCCTGCTGCAAAAGTTTTACATTATGCCACGGAAGTAAATTGTTCTTATTGATATAAACGAATTTTTATTCTGTATTTTTTTTTAGATTTTCGAAGGCTTAAAAGCTTATCGTGGTAATGATGGAAAAATACGTCTTTTTCGACCTGATTTAAATATGAAACGAATGCTTACATCAGCTGAACGAAGTGTTTTACCAGTATGAATTAATATTGAAAATATTCATTTGATATATTATATATGTTTATAGACATTCGATGGAAATGAATTAATAGAATGTATAAAAAAATTAATTCAAATTGATGTTGATTGGGTACCAAGATCAACTACAAGTACACTTTATATTCGACCAACTTTAATTGGTACTGAAGTATGTTTTAAAATTTTTTGTGTGAAATTTAAAAAAATAAAAAAGCAATTCGTCTTTTAGCCAACATTAGGTGTTGGTGCTCCGCATGAATCATTATTATTTGTTATTACTGGTCCTGTTGGTCCTTATTTTCCAACTGGCTTTAAACCGGTTTCATTATTTGCAGATACGTTCCATTGTCGAGCATTTCCAGGTGGTATGGGTGCATATAAAGCTGGCTCGTAAGGAATTAAACTTGATTTGTTTTTTTTTTCTCTTTTTTTTTTAAAGTCAATATTATTTCATAGCAATTATGGACCAACAATTTATGTGAATCAATTGGCTCATGAAAAAGGATGTCAACAAGTATTATGGCTCTATGGTGACAAACGCTATATTACAGAAGTTGGCACAATGAATGTATTTATTTGTTTAAAAAATAAAAAAGGAGATACGGAATTAGTTACACCACCATTGAATGGACTTATTTTACCTGGTGTTACTCGTCAAAGTATTCTGGATCTTGGACGTTCATGGGTAAGATTATATTAATTAAATTCAAATAAATCTCTATTTTTGATTTTTATTTTAGAAAGATTTAACTGTTTCAGAACGAGAAATAACAATGGATGAACTTTTAGAAATACATCGAGAGAATCGAGTATGATTTTATATAGTAAATTAGTTCTAGTTAAATTTTATTAATTATTTTAGCTTTTGGAAATGTTTGGTGCTGGTACAGCAGCTATTGTTTGTCCAGTTGAACGTATTATTTATGAAGGAAAAGAATATAATTTGGCGACAATGAACAAAGGTACATTTTGATTTATTTTATATTATTATTTCATCTAAATTATTAATCTAGGAGCTCCATTAACAACTCGAGTTCATGATGAAATTGTCAATATTCAAGTAGAAATTATTTTTTTTTTAAATTCAAATTCTATTGTGCTTTTTTTGTTTTCTTTTCAATTTAGTTTGGTCGAAAACCAAGTAAATGGGCAGTAGAAATCGCTTAAAATCTTTTAATTACATTTTCAACCAAAACTTTTAATATAATTCCACATGGAAATAGAATCTCAACCAATATCCTGGTTATATGTTTTTTTTTCTCCTTATGCTATTGAACATTAAAAAACATTACTTACTTTTTTTTTTTTTATCTAAGTATTTGATGAAATAAAACACATAAGAATGATCGATGGATATAAAAAATATACATATACATGTTGTTCTATTATTTTTCGATTTATTCCAGATCATTATGCATTCTTTATTTGTCTTAGTTTATCTTTTTTTGCAAATTTTTGTTATATTTTGTTCACAACCAAAACGTATTGTCGATCAAATGTATATATCATTTGATCGTGCACGTTACTGTGTTCGTCGTCTTAATGGTACACATGAAATTGGTTGTCAATCATCGATACGAGGCAATTCTGGTCGAATGTATATGATTGATAATGATCAAGAATTTAATATATATATTAAAGATAATAAAATTATTGATTCATCTAATTCATTTATTATTGTGCTTAATGTAAATTTATTTAATTCGTATTATATTGATCGTTTAATGAAAATTCTCGATAGAAAATTAAATGGTCTTTTACTTTATTTAAAATCAAATTTATCTCGTCCATTAGATTTTTCACATGATGATCAATGTCCTAATAATCGTTATCCATATTATTTAAATCAAACACAAAAAATGAATTGGAATTCAAAAGGAACTGGTTTATTTTTTCGTTCATTTCCATTTCCAATAATGTTAATCGATGAAGAAGATGATTATAAGCGTTTAGTTAAATTTTATCGACAATTTTATAATAGTCAATCATTACCTGCTTGTGGTCTAGAATTAAAAGCATTTCAAAATGCAGCACATACAACAAAAACATGTATGAGAAGAAATGATATATCACATTCATTAATTGATCTTCAAGAAATGTTTTGTGATCCAATTGGTGGTTTAAATATTTATAGTAAATTACCTCAATCAATCACTATTGTACCTGATCAACGTCCGTTAAAATCAGTTATTCTTATTTTAGCAACGACAGATAGTTTTCAAATGTTTTTAAAAACAAAAGGATCAACAGGTGGTGTTCAACAACCAGCTATAGCACTTATTACATTTCTTGCATTGGCACATCTTATTGGACAAGAACAAGATGAATTTAAAAAACAAGATAAAGAAATTATATTTGTAACACTTGATGGTGATGCATTGGATTACTCAGCTTCATTTAAATTTATGTTTGATATGATTAATGAATATTTTCCAATTGGTAATAAAAATGAACAACCTATTAAAATTGAACATATTCATTCAATTATTGAACTTCAATCATTAAGTATGACGCAAAAAATTTGGGTAAGTTAAACGTATATCTTAACCTTTCTGTATACTAAGAACATATCAAAAATAAGGAAATTTTCAAGAAATATAAAATATAGAAAAATATTATTTCCGATTTTATTTCATTAAAGGTTCATAGTAGTTACGACACTCTACAAGAATTTGAGTTGCTGCCATCAGTGAAATTCTATTTCATCAAATCGAATAACCAAAATTCACATAATACCAAATCTGGAAAATTCGATGGTTTTCGAATGATTACGATACCTTTCGACTAGAGATATATTTATGTACATGTGGTTTGACGTTGTCATGATGAAGCTTTATGGCATGTGTACTATCGATGTAATAGTGATGATCGATGGCCTCTCCTTGACCAACCTAATGAATTGACACAGGATCAGCAGCTTCGGAGGAAATTGACTGCATCGCATCATATTAGCCGGAGTTTCTTTAGTTGGTAACCAGACAGTATTCGATGATTTTCGATCAATTTTTCTTGACAAAGCCCAACTCGTTCGACTCGGTGAGTATCAGTCAGCAAGTTGGGTATTCGAAGGGTAGTCATTTTCTTTTAACTTTAGATAGTCAGAAATAATTCGTTCAAGGATAATATGACTTATATTAGTCTCCCATTGTATTTCATCAATTTTAACATGAGAATCATTCTCAATGAGGCAGCGAACTTCTTCCATATTGTCAGATATCGTATCAGTTCATTTAAAGCACTCTTAGTGCTACATATACTATTTGTCTGTATAGTGGAGACCGAATACTATATAAAAAAATACAACTATTTAATACGACAAAGCCTTGAGTACAACATACAGCAAACAAACAAACAAACAAAATCTAGTGCTAAGAAAATAATGACAGACGAAAAAAAAACAATATTATAAGATTCTTATAAAAGATCTTGTTGGATTAGGTGACGTATTCGATATTCAGAGGGTGTGGTGATAGGTGTGTCCCATCCTTTCAACCACATCCACATCCTCGTCTATGATTAAATTGACTCTAGTTGCATCCAAGTCTTGTGAAAATAAAATTTACTATACACTATTTGACACGACTTGAATTGCTTTATAACATGACATATTCGGTTTTGCAATTCTGAGTAGGTCTCATAATTCAACAGAGTCTTTTATAATAATAATATTATTTTATCTTTTATTTTCTTTGTACTCGATTTCTACTAAACAGGCTTATCGTCTAATGAAATTAACGTTGTGTAGTTTAACTACACGACTCAAAACAATCACTCTTTTTTTTTTGTTTATTTAATTTCAGCTTCATACATATCCCTCATCATTAATCAATCGAACCTTTATTGATATACTACTTCGTAATAATCCAATGATCAATCTAATTCCATCTAATTCTCCCTTACCACCAGCATCTTCACAAATTTTTCTTCGACAAACATTATCATCATCTTTTCCTGCTTACATATTATCATCAACAGATCAATTTCAATTATCAAATCATTATTATCATTCATTTTTTGATGATCCTTCGACATTATCAATTAATATATCAACATTAGAATATAATACTACTACGGAATTTAGTCTATGGATTAAACGTATTGTTGAACCACTTGCTCAAACATTAATTGAGTCATTAGTTGATACAAAGAAAAATGTCATTATTAAACAAGAAATTGTTAATAATCTAGTTTATTGTATTTTAAAAAATATTAATTGTCCTCTTATTCATAATGTTACTAATCAATCTGTTGGTAATACATTTCAACCATTTGATCAAACATCTATGCTATTTTCAATTAATACTTATCCAATCTCAACAACAGCTACATTTCCTTTTATAAAATATGTACTTAGTTATTTTTTACGTGATCGTTCATACGATACACAAAATTTAACTGAAACATCATGTAAACAACTTATATATAATGATAGTTTTTGTTCATATACATTTGTTGGTGGATATTTACCATCAATGATTAATAAGAATTCATTTTCTGGTTATTGTGTTCGATCATATCTACGATCTGTACAATCAATCTCACCAGCATTTGTTATTGAAAATTATGATCTATCTCAAACAACATATCCAGCATGGACTGAAAGTCGATGGACAGCAATTAGTCTACGACTTTTTATTATTCCAACAAGGACACATGAAATAGTTACACTTATTATTGGTATTTTACTTACTTTTATTTCATTTTGTGTACTTTTCTTTTTACGTTATTATACAAAGATTAGTATTTTACAACCTTCATCATCATGAATGATTGATTCTCGGTGTATTCAGTGTTTCAGAGTTATTTTGTTGTAGTGTCTATTCAAAATCTTTTTTTTTTTTTTGATGATCAAAATATGTCATTGTTTATCTATTGTGTGTAATTGTTATAAATAGAATTCAACAATCTTTACAATGCAAACTATTATCTATCAAGACAAGGTACATCTTTGCTACATAGAATGATATAAACATTAGTATTGGAATTATCTAGAGACATTGTTCCATACATGATCATCTCAGTTGCATATATTCCTTTGTTTAATTGATAGAATTCTCTGATGCAGAATGTCTGCCACGGTCTGTGGGAAGTACGAGTGGGACTGAATCTATACTTCTACTTCTATACTTCAACATTCGTTTTTGATCGTGTTTCATAACAACAGCATTAACATCATCATCATTATATTCATTAGTAAGACAATTAAACAAAAAAAAAAAAACTTTTGAAAAAGCCACAACTCTGAAGCAAACGGAGATTTTCCAAAACAGAAAAGATTTTTATTTTATGAATAAAAAATTTGATTATTCTACCAATTTCACCCGTAAAAATAACTGTATGAATGTATTCTCATGTTTATATAGATATATATATATCACGTTGTCATTCATATAGTTGAAGGTATCTTTTTTGATTCTGCTCGTGGTTGAACAAGATTGAATATTGTCGCGAAATGCTCTTTAGTTTTATTGTTAATTTACTTTTCGGGTTCAATGAGTTGTTCGTCAGTAGTTTTTTCAATAAAGTACTGTGTATTTCACAAAGTCTATAAGCCTTAAAATAGATTCGGTTTTGTTTTTCATGAAATACCTCTTTTGTTGGTTTCTAAAAGGTACTCAGAACAAAGGATTCGAGAGTCGAATTTCGTCAAATCCTATCAGAAAAGTAGTATTATACGATAGGGCTATACACAAAAGTGTCGTGATGATCGACACTGCTATAGGATCCGGTAAACGCAGTCTTGTTCAAGGCTTCTGTAAATTTCCAATAAAATTAAATCGGAATTAGTATGATTCAATAAAATCCTAAAAGATGATTTTGATCTGGAACTATGAAGAAAGGCGAGTATATTAGAGAATACTCTAATTATATGTTTGCAACGCCTTCCATTCATGAGTTTCGGAAGAAAAGCAGCAAAAACCGAGGAAAAGGAGGAATATTCATAAGCTAAGTAAAAAAGGGTTAATAGTACTTTCGTCTTCTGGTACATCAGTAATTAATTTATAACGATCATAAAGACATGAACTTTTTGAATAGAATTTCATTGCATCCTGAAGAATAGTTAGAATATCAAAATGGAGTTTTTGTTGTTCTGTTTCGATTGGTAAACAAAAAATTCGAAGATTCTTTTGTTAATAGCTTTAAAAAAAGCCAATACACATCTACGCTTCACATCGACAGAGACATCTATACCTACATCCATACCCACCTTTCCTTTTGAAAATTAGACATGCTATACTCTAAGCATCCTTGCATGTATATGAGACTGATATAGACAAATCATGTGCATTTCTCACTATTTTTCAGTTTAAAGGGCTTCTATTCTGAAATGAATAAGTCTAGAGAAGGACAACAACTACTATATATATGTGCTTTGAGGTATTCTTATTTTTATCCAGTATTCTTTCTCTTTATTTAAAATAACTTCTGTTTCTGTGAGACAGTTGATGAGTGTTTGTAGAGTTTAACACTGAAATAGTCAACAATTACGTTAACGGTTGATTTGTACTCGTTATGCGAATGATTCATAAGTGTGGCATTCACTAAAAAGATCTATGTAAGTCATATTTTGGATCACTTTTGATGCAGGAATACCTGCTTCTTAAATATCAAAGTTCTTTGAAAATTTATGCAACGCTATTATCTTCAAAATACCACAGTTGAAAGACCTCTGAATGAATTATCTATAATTCATTTGTGTTCCATGATTCACATAAATATCGAACAAGTCATCGACAGCGTCTCAAATATTGCAAACTAGAATTTCTTGCATGATTTGTTTCGTGAACATTCTTGTTTCCATATATAGTACAGAACACATTTGAACAGTTGATAATAGAAAATTTTAAGAGCTATTACGAACATTATTAATAACTTGTTCATGTTTGCTATCCCTTGCTGAATTTCCTGAGTTTCCTCGTGAACAATTACTCATTTTTGAAAAATATATTAAATGGAGTCTTCATGGCAATATAGCACCAAAATCAAACAGATTCGAGAGGAAGGATATAAGTTATAATGCATGCAACAAGGACTGTTTTAGTAGAAAAATACCAGAGGGGCCACTATCAACATCAGAATTAAATAACTTTTTCTCGATTTCCGAATTATCTTTCAAGGTCATCTCCATTCATTTTTTTTCTCTAAAACAGTCTCTATCAACTAGATATAGTAGTTGAATAGGCATAGATACTTTAGTATATTGTGTTATGTTTATGATAGATTCACTTGTGTATGGATAGAGTCACAAAAAATCATTCTAACGCATATATTGTTGCCAAGTGAATTACACTGCTCACCAGAGAAATCCGACCTCCAAAACACGATAAAAAACGAGTTTTTTTGAAACCTCCTATGTAAAATTACTGCAGAGAAAAACTATGTTCCGTCTAAGAAAATATTTGTCTTGTTGACTAGTAGCTATCCTAAAAGGTTTAATCTTCCGTCACTTAAAATGATCAAATACTAGAAATATGGTTTTTGCTTGAAAGACTCTTGGAGTCGTTCTTCGGAAGCTGTCATGTCATCATTTTTAAAATATTTGAATATGGCTTTTTTATTCACTATATCATGATTTAATAGTTCTGAAAGCTTAGAAAAATTTACATAAAATCAATATAAACTGGTACACATCTAAAAGAATTACTCTACTTGTCGAGCTTTGTTTTCGTAGTTTCAATGAGTGGAGGATCCTCTTTGGTCATTTTCACACGTGCCATCGCTTTCATCATCCAGTTGAGTGAATCGGTGATCTGAATGCACGAAAAAAGTGGATCTAGCGATAAAAATCACGTTTACACTCACTCTTTCAAGACGTCTATCCATGAGTTTGACTCGCTTTTCTAGACTAGCAACGGTCGACTCTACTGGAGACAGTTTGTCAACAGTCTCAATGTGATTTTGTGTATGTTCATCTGTCAATTGATCTATGCCAGAGTTGAGTTGTTTCGATTGATCGCTTGTTGAGGAGAACGGTTGAGGCCTGCAAAAATCAATCAAAGAAGAACATCTTTTTTCTTTTGAAACCGTATCATTGCTAGAATCAATACCAAGACAATAGACTTGGGATTATTATTAAGAGAGGCGTGACAGACAGCCAGCTTAGTAACAGATATTGCAACTTTTGAAAATTTCAAATTTCGATTTAATTTTTGCGATTCAATAAATCCACATTTAAAAAGCTCTTTGTAAAAGTATCAGAGCTTTCGAGAATGTCTGTAACGAACTATAAACAAAACAGTCAACACATATAATTTTTTCAAGTGAATTTTCGCCTTGTAGTTTTCGTGCTCTTTATATTTTTCAATTTCCTTAGTGTTGCTTCAACGAGTTCGAGGTACAAACATTCCAGTAGATAGAGAAAATGATTTTTTACAAATCTGCTTAGAATATTCGTTTTTGCCGCTGAAAGTCAGTTCACCGAAAAATTTGCACAAAAAAGTGGTTTTTAACATTTCGTTCTTTTCGAGTATTTTGAACAAAACTCTATCAAAAGGACAGAATCTCAAAATCCCCAGCTGTAATGCCAAAAGCCCATCAAAAGTCGAATCGATTCATCTGAAAATATTTCAGAAAGATTTAGAGCAAAAGTATTTCCAAACACCTTAAAAAAGGATCAATATCGTAAAATTCGACATCTTAAGAGAAACCCTATCACTTCACCATTAATGTCACCATGGGTAAATTATAGACTTCATTTAAATATCTAAAAAGAGAGCCCACGAAGCGAGACCTCTAAACTCAAAATATTAGACCTTTCTAAAGCATCTATGAAACACTAGAAGACTCACATAGTGAGTATCACCAGGTCATAATTTTGTGATAAATTCTATTGAATACTTTGTATGAATCTAATATTTGCTTTGCCAATTCAAATGCATAGCTTGTACAGATAATCAAGGAGTGCAAGATGTATAATGTTAATTTTCATTATGAGGGAGATAAGATGCCACAATTATATCTTTGGTTAGAAAGTATCCTGAACTTATTCATCGCCAAAAAGTCCAATATGAATACCTTTTCGAAATATTGTTAAGTCACTCTCAAAATTGTATAACAAGCGCCGTTTCGACTCTTTTACTAGCTGAGGGTCTCAGAATTTCAAAATTCTATGATCACTCATAGAAAATTTTCTAGACACATCAGACACCCATAAATTATTAATTCAGCATCATACAAGTGCTCTTCATTATGATATCTGTTATTTCCCATGTAAAAAGTTTTGACAGAATATTAGATTGAAGTCGACTTTTCATGAAATAATCTATGAGAATCATTTCTTTAACGCACAACTCGGATTGGTTTTCGTTATTAAAGACCGATTTTGAACTCTTATGAAACATACGTCGATTAAAACAATAAAAACACCACATAATCGCGAAAATCTAAACTTCCATCTATTATTTCAACAGAAACCGATAATTATGTATTTTTTGAAAGAAAACGAATCTTTTACCCGAAGAACGAAGATGTTCGAAAAAAAATAATGTGCATATGAGTGTATTTCTTTTCGTTCATCTTTTCTATTGTATCAACTGTTGCACAAATAAATCAAATTCACTCAAATAAGACTTTTGCCACGAACTAATTCTACAAATAATCCTTATCTCTTCTGTGTTGTCTGCTGGCATGGATGAAATACTTCCAACATTTGTACCTCAGTTTGTTTCAAGCTAGATTTTTCACGTTATTCGTGAAGCAATCATTGCTTTGTTTCTTCTTTCGAACTCCTTTTCGTCTAACAAGTTAGATGAAGAAAAAGTTCATAGAAGTAGCTGGTTTAACCGTAAAATTGTTACAAAGGTTTAGTTTAGTGATTTCAGATTTCTCTTTGTCCTATGTAAGATAATATATTGTTTGCAACGTTCTGCGGAGTTTTCGTCATACACTCATGCCTATAATTTCCACTTTTCGGTACTCTTCTCAAACTTGGATTATTCTCTGAGGAATTTGTTTGTCCAGAAGTCTTGTTAGACACACAGTTGAACTCTTCTTATCGTAGTACTTAAAAACCACACTCACTTCATCGTCGGTGCTTTCGACACGGCTAATCGCGATAAAGTCATTGATGAACCTTCTCCATTGTGTTGACTTCGGAGAATTTCTGACGCAACTTTGGCATAGGCGGTATCGAAATCCATTTTCGTAAAATCTACATATATTCGACACGATGTTAAAAAAGCTAGCCATCCATCGGCTTTGTAACCAGACTGCACTCTAAGTGGAATCAAGAAACGTCGTTTTTCAAATGCATATTGTGCTTCGGATTGACAATATGGACTCAAAAAGTAACTCTCACTCATACATATTAGAATGCAACGCGAGTTCTTAACTGCATCAGCCATCACTTGCATCATTGCACCATGCATTTCTTCAAGATCAATCCATACACGAAATTTATTGGCAATGAGAGCTTTGTAAATTCGACGGCATATGTCTTTGTCTTTATGAGAATACGATATCATAACATCGTATTGAAAGTCACGTTCAGACTTTCCGTATTTCGAAAATAACCGCCATAGAATGCCATCAGCAGCTTTCTGTAAATAAGGTGTGTTTGAAGTCGAGGTCAGCGTTCGTAGATGCTGAACAAAAGTATTGTTTTGTCGAAGACAAGCTCCGATCTCCTCATTAAATGCTAGTGACATGATGATGTCGAGTGCGCTTAGTTGTATTTTTTCAGGATCGAACTGAAATTCTGTTGCACAACGAATGAGAAGTGGAAGACCGTCAACTTGTTTCGTAAACTCTGCTTTGATTTGATCGTGTTGAACGAGATCTGCAGTGGAACAAATAGATTATGAAGTATGCTATTGAAAACAACTTTTAAAGTTATATTTGAAATCAAAAACGTTTACTTTAGTCCAAAAGATCTTTTCGAAAAACTGAAAAAAAAACTGCTCTTACTTTTGAGACTACGAAGTATGCTGCGGAGCCGAAGGACTTTGTTTGGATCATCAATCACATTTTTGAGGAAGGTGAGAAAGACACTTGCAATTTTGCTCGGATTCGTCAGCATTTTGATGTCCTGCTCAGTCAGAATCGAGGCTAGAATACGATAAGCATTAAACTGCACATATTCGTTGTCAGCATTGACCAGTTTCAGGAGTATCGTGGACAAGTCTTTACTTTTGACATAGCTGAGTATATTTTGATCAAGAGTAAGTAAATATAGTTGTAACAGGAAAATTCCTGCCAAATTCATATCGGATGTGTCAGTTATCGCGTTCGATAACGAGGATAAGATCAAAACAAAAGAATCAACTATTTTGTAACAGTCATCATAAACTTCTTTGCTGGAAGTTGCTTCATGCTGCATGTCAAAATCTAGAATAATATTACCGATTTTTTTCACAGCATTGGTTGTCACTTCACTCCATTGTCGAAAGGAGGATGCGTGACTCAGTAGCCATTGTGTGAAAGGACTCAGCAAGGCAGTACGAATGATAAGACAGAATTCATCACGGCAGTTCCCTCCATACCAGTAGAAGTAATCAGTGCATGTATCAAGCAAGAGTGTTTGTGCTTCATTGAGTTTTTTCAACTTAGTTATTTGCTTGAATATGTTGACGAAAATCGGTGAGCACACACATTTGACTATTGCATCCAAAAGTGGCTTCAGCAGCGGATCATTTTGAATATCAACTCGACCTTGGAAGATACGATAGATAGCTCTCATCATAAAATCGACAGCATTTATCTGAGGATCTTGTAAAGATCTGCCGTTTGTAGCAATCTCTGTGAGACATTCGCTAAGCTCATCGACAAGAGGCTTGTAGATAAGAAGTCCTTTAAATCGGGTTACATTAGCATTGGTCACATGAGCACACATGCCAGCCAACGAGGTAGAAATTTCGAGAAAAACTTCGTTAATAAACTTGTCGAGCACTTGACCACTTCGCCATCGGCGCAGAATACCAAGATAACAATCACGAACAATAATAAATAGTTGGTGATCAACAATACCGGACTCACCACATGACTTTATATTATGTATATGAATGGACGCTAATATCTTTATGATCACACTGGCATCATTCGTTAGGTTGTGTTTGTTCAATTCTGCAACAATGATGTCCAAAGATCTCTTAAGTTGCTCGGCAGTTATAGGCACTCCTTGCTCTTTGATAAAAGTGCATTGTTGATCAATAATCATGGATCCACTCATGATACCACGAACTTATATTTCAAATCTAGATAGATCTCGTTTTGCTAAACGCTCGTGTAATATATCAATCGTGTTGTTGTTTTTGTCGTCGAAAAGAACTGCGCTGTTTCTCAATTGAAATCTTATGAGAGAAAGCTCAATATTGACATTGTCACCTGTGTGCTGCTGATGTTGATGTTTGACGACAGAAAGAATAAGACAGAATGAATGAAAAATGTATTCAGCATCACTAAGGTGGCTTGAAAATTGTGATGTAAAAAACTGCTTGTGTTACTGCGTAAACTATTGTATGAGGTACACTTTGTTTTTACTACAGTCGCAACGACGAAGTACTGTTCATGGACACTAATACATGAATGCACTGCACGCCATTTGAATGATTTATTTTCAGAGATCATTTTTGAAATGAAAGCAGAAATGTTTGATCAATTGGATTCTGGCATTTTTTGTGACATTCTATGTTGACTTCTCATGCTTTCTAACAAAACCAATTTTCTATCTGTCTCCCCCTATCTCATACAGTTGACAGAAAATGGTGTGGGTGTGAAAGAACACAAGATCCACACCCACATCCACAATCCCCTCAAACATCCCGCCCCATAGATTATTTTAAACTCAAGTATAAACAATTTTTCAAACTCTTTTAAATGAAAATATTCAGCACGAGTTTCTCAATCTATATGTGTGATTTTCAAGCAAATCTTAGCTCCTCTCGATGCGAAATTAATGAAATTACTAAAACTGATCTTCTTATTTTTCAAAGGAATAAATAAACCAATTTCAATACATTTCTTTTTTTCTAAAATTGAATAGCGTTATTAATGAAGCTGATTTCATAGCTGAATAGAGCATACTTGAATACATACCGTCGCATAAATCTTATTTCTCTTGAAAGTCTAAGATAGCAAAGAGTAAGCATATAAGTGAAACTAAACAGGCAATTCAATAATTTTTCACACTACTGTATGTGCACATGTTTGCCACAGTGTACCATACACTATCACACCCACACCTCCAGCCCTGATTTCATTAGAGCATAGACACTGTCTTCAAATGGATTTACAAGCAATCTCTTCTACTGGATGAAAGAAACTGCAATGTTGTTGAAGCAATTGTGCAAAACAATATTTTATTATAATAAGTTGATATTATGAAAAGTTATTTTTTACATCAATGGACACATAGCAAATGTATATTTTATCCAGTGAATTGTTTTTTCATAGTAAAAGCTAATAAATGTTTGAAACTATTTTAGTGCTCCAAACGCCATTCGTATGAACTTAGTTTCATCATTATTTGTAGGTGATCTATGCGCTACATGATCAATAATAATACTATAATCTGATTTTGGAATTCCCAATGCTGTTACCAAATTGTATTCATTTAAAGGAGCACCAAAACAATTATTAGATCCATAAATGAATAAAAAATAATATGATATTGAAGGTCCTTCTCCTGGCTCTACTTTTGGAAATAAACTAATTATTAATTCTCGAACTCCTTTTCCAATAAACCCACAAATAATGCTATCTAAAATATCAATTACGAAATAACCAATACCTGGTAATAAACTTCCTATAGCTCCACTAATATAAGATCCTATGTGACTTATAACCATTTGTGAGAATTGAACTATTAATTTGTCGATTGTTTGACCATTATCATCCATTAAAATTACTATTAAATCATTAAGTTCAAAAATAATAGATATAGCTAGCATACTCAATTTAACCTTGTTCTCTGATAAATAACGTAAAAAATTGTTTTTAACACAAGGATCACTTGGATTAAGAACATTAATTGATTTAATATTTTCATTAAACTTGTCAATATCATTTTTATTTATACCAATATTTCTTTTAACATTTGTACGTATTGTTGATGCTTTTGATTGGCAAGCACCACCATTAATATCTTCAAAATTATAAACACTTTTACGTAAGCCTTTTGATCGAAATTGTGGAATAACACCATTTGTACGAAACTCTTGATATTTATGTTTGTCCATAGTTAATTGTAATATTCTTTGTCCAGCACGATCTTCTATAGGTACACCATTGTTTTGATATTTTAATACTTTACTAAAACTTTCACTTATCCATTTTTCAGTTCTATTTTTAGAAAATTCATGATTTTTAATAACATTTTTAATTTCATCCATAACTGTTTTTCGATAAACTTGAATTTCATTTAGTTTATTTGCATAAGCAATACTTTGTATAGCTCCACAAAATGGTTCTTTAAGTATTTGAATAATATCATTTTCTGGTATATTTCGAAAATTTAAATCTACATAATCTGTTTTTTTTATTTTGATTAATGTCATCATTTTCAAATGATCCTTCAATTTCGAAATAACTTGTATCGTTCATAGCCTTTATGTTGAAAATTTTGCTTCTTTATATTTTTTTTTCTATTTCGATAATTCTTACTTGTCAATATTTGTATTTTATTTATAATTGAATAAGACAATTTTTTTAATTGTTCTTCAATGATTTTCGTGTATTTGACTCTTGTATTTAGTTATATATATATCTAGAATTTCATGATTGATATGAAACATTTATCTAAGAGAAAATGTTCAAAAACAAAACATTGTTATACGTAATTGTTCATAGAATTCAGGTATAAGCAAATTACCAATGTGCCATTTTAGGACGAGTGGTAACAAAAAAAAAGAATATTTTGCTGGTTTCTCTAGCGGAAAAAGCTCAAATAGTTATTGATATCTAGTGCATATCACAATTATTCAACCATTTTGCCAAAGGTTTTTGTTTTCCCATTTTCCAATAATGAAAGAACATCGGTAATATTAGTCTATACCATGTAATAGTGCACAGTCTCAATGACATATGGACCATTTCAGCTAAAACGTGACATGGCCACTTTTTGTTCGGCTTTGATCTTTTACAAGAGTTATTTTTCTGAACAAGTTCTTTTAGCATAGACATACTATTAATTAAAATTAACTAGTCCATCAAAAAAGAATTCGCGAATATCTTTCTAATTATACGAGAAAAAAAAATCCGACAATTTCAGAATAGGCTCTACGACACAAATCGTATCTATGGTGGAATTTTCAGCAAGACCGGATTAAAAAGAATTTCTCCTGAAGAACAATTAATAGCAATTTAGAATTGGTTTTGAACTTCTTATTCGATTATATAAGCATATTTTTGTTTGTCTATTTCTATTTAGTCACGTCACTAAAGAAAAGTAAATCGATCTTTCTGAAAAATATAGGCATGTCCAGAAAAAACTTGAGATAGAGATTTTGTAGCTTCAAAAATTGTCTTCAGAATGTACTTTTTACTTTTATAAAAATGTTATCTCAATCCGAAGTTTTTTTTTATAAACTGAAATGCATTAGGTCAAATTCCATGCCATTTTTTGTGTCACACCGCTAACGCTAGATTTTTACCGATAGCTCCTCTGAAAAACGCTTGTTGGCGCAGCCCCTTTAGAGCTGAAATGTGGAACTCACATATGCTCTCTAACCTGATTAAACTAATACAAAAAACACAAAATGAAAAATCTCTCGTAAACAATAATTGTTTTGCAGGATAATCAATCACTGAAGCAAAAAATTCTCCAATTTCTGCATTTCGAACAACATTTTTTTTTCTACGCACGCCCTATTTTTTGTTTTCATTGCTGCCATTCGCTCATTATTTTTCATCTTTTGAAATTCGTTTTTCTTAATGTATCATTCTTATTATAATAATCATTGAATTGATTGGCAAATAAGTGTGTTTTACATATCCATGATATCTACAGCAGGTCTTACACACTATCATTTATATTAATCAAGTCACCAATAATGATATTCGTTATTTTTCAAAATAATAACTTGATCAATTTTCCAAAACAAAAACTATAGAATATCTAACATTTTTGATTCTCGGTTGCTATGGTCTGTAATGATAGCCTGTCTGTAACGGGGTGGGATGGGGCGCGGGATGGAGCCGCAAAAACTCGAACTTAAAACATACACTCACTATTTTCTTCGAAAATATATGTGAGTTTCACAAAAACTGAAGAGATTATTTGATATTAGACAAGAAACTGAGGAAATCAAGTGATTTATTAGATTGTTGCTATCTTTCTAATTCTAATATATAGTCAGTATTATTGAATGTATTTCGACGAGCTGCTGATGATCCTAAAATTAAAATTAATATTGAGAATAGATATGATCAATATGCATCATGGTTACTTTCATTATGAAAACATATTTTCAACCTTGCATGAGTTATTTTATTTTTCATGTACTAGATCACTTCGACATACAATTCATCATCATGGGTATCAAAGGTAATCTGTCCTTTTAATTATGCTAGTTATTCTCAAATATGTCGATTTGTTAAGATATGCTCGAACTATTTTTCACTTCTATATGTACAAGTAACAACTAGATCCATTATTGATTATCGAATTATATCTAGTTGCCAAATATTGACGGCTAGCAGAGCATAATCGAACTCGATCTAGCAATTTTGTTGCATGTTCGATACTCGAATCTATCCGGTAGTTTATACTCCTACCCAAGCACAACGTTGGGTCGAGTGCGAATAACCTTACCCACTTATAAGACTCTATAATAAAGAACAGTAACCTCAACTTATATATGAAAGTCAACGGTTAGAATTCTTTGTACAAATAATCAATTAAATCTCAAAGAAGACATATTAATGTTTGTCATCTGTACGTGAAACATGTCGACTTCTTTATCACGATAAAACAGTCAAGCAATTTGTATGAATTATAATAGCGATACAAAATTTCTTTATCTTCGATACAGTGACTTTTGGGCTACATTGTATATTATTAATCCTGTACCAACTTGTTAATCATGTCAGTGATTGGGTGTGGGTGTGTGTGGTGTGGGTGTGTGGGGTGTGGGTGTGGGGTGTGGGTGGGGTGTGGGTGTGGATGTGATGGGTGTGGATGTGATGGGTGTGGATGTGATGGGTGTGGATGTGGGTGCGGGTGTGGGTGTGTGGATGTGAGTGGGTGTGGGTGTAGCTCTTATCCTCGACGACACCCACACCCCACACCCACCCCACCCACCCACGTCCACACCCTCACTCGAATTGTTGTCATACTCAGTGTTATAGGCCGCTAATCACATGTCAAGAAAGTTTCTTGTCATCGTCCACATCAATCACTTGAACATCAAGTGAATTATTCAATATTTTCTCTTATCAATCTTATAGATGTTTTTATCTAAAACTATCAATCATTCACAGAAAGGATACGATGTGCTATCATCGTTCCTACAACTATTCTATCAAAAAATAATGGCTTCTCCTATAAACAACAAATATGTTGATAATAACCACAAAACTTATGTTCGGTAAGGTTCTTGATATCACTCGATCGTTTGATATTCCTTTATTTGTTGAAATAGTTTTCAACTATTCTGACTGCTTGACATACGGATAAAGTACATAGAAATTCATCCTGAAGATTTTCAAAATTTTGCTGAAGCTTGCTTCACTTTTGACGTATTTTATTCGGTAACCTTAGTATCAAAAAGTGATGTTTTTAGTACTTGTATGCAGACGATCATTGCCATTTCAGATATTCTTATTTTTTCACTTCATTTGTGTTTGTGGATATAATTAAGCAAGTATTAGAGCCTTCGTTGTACGATTATCACTATTCGATATTTCAGGATCTGTAGTGCTGGAGGACTTGAACCTTGAGAAGAAGACGATCTTTGCTTAAGAATTTTGGATAAAATAGCTTTGTTATGCATATCATAAGAGTAGTCAAGAAGCAAACTTTAAAGAAGAAAAGTCGTTTCTTTCGTTAAACGCTATTTAATTATTGACGCATTTTCTCGTTATTAATCCGCCAAAATTTTCGAAATCGATTCATTCAATAGAGAAATTAACACATAACAAAGCCTGGTATTTAATTTTTAGATAGCATGTTGTCCCTTTGTGTAGTTTTTTGAGCTACATTACATCGACTATATTATAAAGGGTAAGCTCATGAAAACAAATGAGAAAAGTAATGGCTTTTTTCTCTAAAGTTAAGCAATTTTGTGCTCGAGTTTTTCAGGTCATTTGCATATTTCTAACTTGTTCTGATGGGGTTTCAATGCTGATAATCAGTCTTCATAATGATTTTTAATTTCAATCTTTGCCCTAAAAACCTCCTCTTTTATATGAAATATGCATATTTCAGTTCTTTGCATGAGTAAATGACTGGTGCTGCCATGTGGTGGCACCTGGGTGGATGTCGCCAATCTATCCTGCCGCTGTGGAAGATTCGCATGTATGCTTGCTGCCACATTTACAAAAATACGAACAGTTTCGAACATAAGTCAAAAACTCAGTATTTGCAGCTTGTGTCGCTATGAGTTTTCACTAAAACTTTCATCCAAATTTCTAGCTACTACCGAAGAAGGATAGATAATGGCAGTAGACAACTTTTAAATCAGTAGAAACAATGATCGTTGGAAGCGGAAAAATGACTACTGAGTGAAAAATGATAGTTTTCGCTTACAGTATGGTATCATTCACTGTGCTTCTCGTCATAAGATGTCCTCTTGTAATGTGTTAGTGGAATAATTAAAGTTACTTTATTTATTATCATGTATACTTTTCTTTCTTCGTTCATATTCACTAGGGTGTACGTTAGAATAAAAAGATAGATGGAATAGAATATAAAATATACCGATCGACGAAGAAGATATATTCATTACTTTTTAGTCTATATGAAATAGTTTCAGAATTAAAACTTGTCTAATAACGATGAATTGGAGCATTTTTCTTCTACACTATAATATCATTACTAAATAACTGATCATTTTTTAATAGATAATTTCATTTCTTCTCTTATTTTACATTATTAACTGACCATTTTTTTCAATACATCTATTCATTTTTCCATGACATTGCATTTTCTTTCTGAGAATATCGTGAAATTAAGATGTAAGGAGGGCATTTTTTTTGTTTTAGCTGTATTTCGAATCGCAGTAATTTTCGTCTATTGCTCATGAGAGGAGCATTTTTGACCCGGGAGTGATTTTTACACTTAGAATCAGCATTTTTGTCACCGATCAAAAATTTGCCCAACCCTCGTTGAATCATCATGAAACAACTGGACATAACATTTGTTTGAGTCTGTCGAATCATTCAGTCTTTTGCTATGCATGTAATAGCTATATTGATAGTCCTCAACTGCATGCTCTCAATCGACAATTAAGCCGTACTTCTCACTAAATGCAACGAATAATACATGCAAACACGGTACCGATGGATTTATTATTATTATTATTATTCATGCCTTGATGAACAAATAAAACAATAAAGAGAC